GTTGTTAACTAATGTCATAAAATAATATGTGTACTGTCTGTTTAATGAGAAACTATTTGTTCTGTAAAGCTTCATCTAAAGTACAATAAAAAATATATATATATAATTTAATGTGACTAATATGTTTTACTTAATTTGTCCCCCATATGCACCAACAAGGAGAATTTATTTATGTTTTAGCCATTTGGGAAATGATGAATTTGTTTAATAGATTGGGAATTATTCAGCTCAAAAATGATTGTTAGAATTTCTTTTTATTTGATTACTATATATCGCCAAGCCCAAAATCTATCTATCAGCAGCTGTATCCGTTGACTGGATGTCCTTGACTAAAAGACTAAAAGGTTCTCATTTTGAATCATGCCAAATACAGATGTTAATAAAAAGCATTATGCCTTGAACATATCTGATATAAGATCTTGTATCTTCTCAAATGTGTATTTGTTTTGCTTGTCATTTTTATTGCCTTCGACTATTTTCCGAGAGGCCCGTAATCTAAACAGAAGTGTACTTTTTCACTAGCGGGTTGGGGTGATTATTATCAGCTTCCATGGGATCACTGTTATGTATACATTATCTTAACAGGAAATATGAAGCAATATTTGCAAATAATTTGAATGCTTTTTCACGTCTTTCTACATGTGGCGTGAAACACCTATATGTGACCCCCAAGATAACTCTTTCTAGAGCTTTGGGTGTTCACCGTTATAAAATGGAAAATCTGGTCAGAAAAAAAGAGCTTCCAAAGTACATCAGCATGTGTGTGGTGCAAATATTGAGCATGTGGAATTGATTGCAGGTCAACATCATTGACTGCAAGGCTATCTGATAAGATCTCTGTTTAAAGTAATTTAGGACCCGTGTCCTAGGGTTCTGCCTATCAGTGCAATGACTGAAATTAGAAAAATGAAGCAGAAAGAAACTGACTGTGTGAGAGTTTGCTATGTTTACATTCTAAGTGTATTTTTCTTTTCTCCTTTTCTTCTGGGGTCTCCAGTTTACCGTGGCTTCTGGGCAGTGCTGATGCTCCTGGGGGTGGTTGCCGTTGTGACTGCAAGTTTTTTGATCATCTGTGCAGCCCCCTTTGCCAGCCATTTTCTCTATAAAGCTGGAGGAGGCTCATACATTGCTGCAGGTATGTACAGTGGAAAGGATACAGTTTCATCCATGGTTTTTCTTCATTTCTTCACATTTTATATTTCTAAATTCAAGGTGCCAGGCTTCATATCCTAGTAATACATTGACATTAATATGCAGTATTTCTTGAATGCTAATTTTTTGTGAGACGCTTTTCTAGGGACTTCCCATGGGTTAACACCCTTAACTATCATGGCAACTTTTGGTCATTGTATCCACATTATGCAAACGAGGACACTGATTTCTCTTACTCTCATTATAGCTCAGCCTTCCCCCATTCCTACCCGAAAAGCACTGGCAGCTTGCGTGGACATAGATACCTGCTGTGTCGTTTTGCCATGTTTGTTAGTGGTCACACTGATAAATCTCAGCCCCAGAGCTCACTCACTTGTTCTTAGGCTTGAACACTTTCTTTCCTGGAGTGGTTCCCATTCACTTAGTCATCCAGTGTTGCTTTATTTATGTTTTTTATTCTTGTTGTCATCTTTCTTATGAATGTTTGTCTACCACAACTGAGCAACTTTCAACAAGTGCTTGGCATGTGTTTTCTGTAAATCCAGGTTCGCAAAAATTGTCCTCTTTCTCTATTTCTTCCCCAGTTCAAGGGTTCCCTGACACACAATTATATTAATATTCTAGCTTTCAATATTCTTTTGTCCCTCTCCTACCAAATAATCTTCCTAAAATACCACCTAAAATAATTTTTTCACATTACGAATGTTATATCAGATTGAAACTATTATGGAAAAATATGGAAAAAGGCAAATACAAAAATACATAATTTACCTTAACACTTTATTCCAAATTGTGCTTATTTTCTTCCAATCTTTTTTAATGTACGTTTTGTTTCAATGTTCCCGGGTGGCATTAATGGTTTGCATTCAACTACTAACCTAAAGGTTGGTGGTTCAAATCCACCCAGTGGTGTCATGAAAGAAAGGCCTGGTGACCTACTTCTGTAAAGATTACAACCAAAAAAAACCCCGTGGAGCAGTTCTACTCTGTAACACATGGGGTTGCCATGAATTGGAATTGACTCGATGGCAACTTTTTTTTTTAAGTCATTTTAATTAAGGTATAAAAACATTCTAATGTATTTATTATTATACTTTAGATGAAGGTTTACAGAACAAACTAGCTTCTCATTAAACAATTAGTACACATATTGTTTTGTGACATTGGTTATCAACCTGTTACATGTCAACACTCTCCCTTCTCTACCTTGGGTTCCCTGTTACCAGCTTTCCTGTCCCCTCCTGCCTTCTCATCCTTGTCCCTGGGCTGGTGTGCCCCGTTTAGTCTTGCTTTTGTTTTATGGGCCTGTCTAATCTTTGGCTGAAGGATGAACCTCAGGAGTGACTTCATTACTGAGCTAAAAGGGTGTCCGGGGGCCATACTCTCAGGATTTGTCCAGTCTCTGTCAGGCCAGTAAATCTGGTCTTTTTTGTGAGTTAGAATTTTTTTCTACATTCTTCTGCAGCACTGTCTGGGACCCTCGATTGTGATCCCTGTCAAAGCAGTCAGTGGTGGTAGCCGGGCACCATCTAGTTGCTGGACTCAGTCTGGTAGAGGCTGTGGTAGTTGTGGTCCATTAGTCCTTTAGACTAATCTTTCCCTTGTGTCTTTGGTTTTCTTCATTCTCCCTTTCTCCTGACGGGGTGAGACCAGTGGAGTATCTTAGATGGCTGCTCACAAGCTTTTAAGACCCCAGACACTACTCACCAAAGTGGAATGTAGAACATTTTCTTTATAGACTATGTGCCCTGAGAAAACATTCTGATATTTTGTCATAAACCATTTTCCACATAGTTTCATTGTGTTTATAATCATCACAAAGACGAGCCATGACATTGCTTATCATCGCTTAATCAGTGGTCAGTAAACCAATAGTTCTTTAAGTATTGCTTTTGCATAATACTGTGCTTAAGTCTGCAGAGCGGATAAGAAGAAGAATCAGGTGTAAAACCTCTGCTCAGAGAGTGCAGAGAAACCCACTCTGAGAAGAGGGGCCCTGTGTGACACCTTCTGCCCTTCTTTTATTTGTTAGTTCAACTCCTTCCTTCACTGTTTTTTTAAGGACCTTTATCAAGAACCTGGCTTTGCCCATTAGCTCTCATAAATTTCTAATAATTTTCTTTATTGAGATATAACTCACATTTCATCAAATTTACCATTTTAAAGTGTATAACTCAGTGTTTTTTTAGTATTTTCACAGAGTTGTGCAAACATCACCACTATGTAATTCCATAATATTTTCATTACCCCACAAAGAAACCCATATCTATTAACATTTACTCCCCATCTGCCCCTCCCCCAGTCCCTGGCAACCAATAATCTATGGATTTGCCTATTTTGGACATTTCAAATAAATGCAACCAGACAGTATGCGGCCTTTGTGGCTGGCTTCTTTCCCTTAGATATCATCATTCTTAGTCTCTCTAGTCTAATTCATAAAACCAAACCCCTTAAAAGTAAGCATCTCCATTTCCAAATGTTTTTTTCCCTCCCCAACCCATATCTACCCTTTCTTCATTCAAAGTTCTAGTTAAAAGGCAAAAGGTCCCGTAGTCTTCCCAGACATAATAGCTATATACTAAAATGTGTAAATATTTGTTTCTTCTTATTCCTCGCTTTTCTTTTTTAAATCTTCTCAGTTTGTCTATAATGGGAATATGTTACAGCAGCATTTTAGTGCTAACACATTATGGGCAATACAATTGTTTTAGATTCAGAAATGTTTTGATTCTGGCTTTGTTTGGTTCTATTAGAGAAGTGTGATTGTACGTGTGTGTGTCTGAGTTCAGTACTTGTATGTATCCTTGAAAAAAGATTCTTGGTTATTTTTCAGTTTTATAATTTGTGTGAGAAAATAGTGTATCCAAAGAATTATTTTTGGCTGACAACTATATACGAAGAGAAGATAAAGCATTTGATATGCACTCATGCCTGTTACTAGTGGATTTTTTTTCGAATGAGTCTTGCGCAACATGTGGGCACTGGGCTGAAGGCTTTCTTGCTCAGATCCTCACACACGAGCCCCCAGGGATTTCAGAGGTGCCTCAGGTGCTCTACAACCCAGGCTGAAAGCCACCGAATTAGAGGATTGTGAGGCTACTTCTGTTCAAACTTGACCGTAATTTCCTTCATGGCACAATTCTGTGTTGTTTGTAGAAAACCTTTTGTTTCCCAAGAACAGACAGAGATATTATGTTGAGTGAGATAAAATATTACTATTTGCTTGTCTGTTCAGGCAGAAAAAGTGGTGTTCTCAGGGGTATCTAGAGTTTACTGTCTAGTAGTAATTTCTACAATGAACCACAATCTTTACAAGCAGTTATGAGGTCAATAAGTCATCCTTATGCTTGACTACTACTTGACAGAAGACTTTCTAAAATCTTACAATTATCTATTATTAACAAATTGTCCCTTCAGTGTTGAAGATGGAAACTTACAAGTATGCTATGCAAAGACAAGGGAAAAATGGAGTAAATGCTGGGTTTGTCAGTTGGCCAATGCTGGGTTTGTCAGTCAGCCAGTGCTGGGTTTGTCAGTCAGCCAGTGCTGGGTTTGTCAGTCAGCCACATTTTTTCTGTGCCACAATTAATATAGAACCATGCATATAGTCATTTACAGAGTTAAACTGAATTGAGTTTATAATGTTTTTCTTGGTTAGATTTATATTTTCAAAATGAAGAGATTTCACTCCATGAGCCAACTATTCCAAAATCTCTTTCTTTTTAGTCCTTGTCTAGCATTCGCTGCCTGATGTCGCCTCTCATACCTCCCTTATGTCAACACACTGTGCTCTGCTGGGAAAGTTAGATTCTGCGTGGGCCCATGGCTGCTGTGGCTCCTTTATCAATACAAAAAACGGGATTGGGCATTCTCTCTTTATTTGGGCATAGGACCTTAGGAAAGGGCAAAGCCAAACTCCAGATGGCCGTTGCTGGGTGTGTGCACATAGAAAAACTCTAGCATCAGCAAGCAGACTGGGCATTCCACTCATGACAGAGGTAGGCTGATGCCACAGCTGTAGAATGGGAGTAAGGCGTGGGGCCCATGATATTCCCTTTGCTTTGTCAACAGGCCCAGAGAAAGGCTTGGAGGGCTGGTGTTGCCACTCCTTGCACTTGGGCAGAAACCTCACGAGGCAGGCCAGGCCCTATACTTCCTGAGGAAGTCCAGCTCCGGACAAAGTGTACACTAACGGTCAGCAGGGTACATCGCTGGGCCTGTGTTTCAGTGAGTCTTATTACACAACTCTACAATGTCTAAACAACTACTGAAATCTGTTTGATTGTGGGCTCACAGAGAACACTTAGATACAAATTACAAGGGATTGACACCCATCTTTTCCTGCCCCAGTGATATTGAATGTAGTGAGAAAGATGCAGGAAGAGGTAGAATGGGTGGGCATGGCATTATAAAAATTTGGGTAGTATGGAGAAAATTATTATGCCACTGATTATTCCTAATCCCTGGGCAAAGTGGCACCCATACAGGAATTGCTATGCACAAATAAGGCATAGACGTGTATGTGAAAGCATAATGGCAGGGCCTGGGTGTTCTTGGACACTAGCATTGGATGATAAGCCATAAAACTAAAAATTGGTATTTTACCAGCATGTCAGGGTAGAAACATTTTTATTCTGTAATTCAAATCACCTTTTTCTGAATGACAAGCTGAGATTACAATTTTCCACTGAATGTAGAGATAGAATCTCACTGGCATAGAGGAGACTGAAAAGATCCTAAATCTCTACTAAATCCCTTATTAGACCATCAGGTTGGTGGGCGTATATAGACGTCCTGTAAGTCAAAGACTTCTTATTCAAGGCCTCGTTGTTGTTTCTTGTTATTAGTTGCTGTTGTGTTGGCTCCAACGCATGGCGGCTGCAGGTATACCAGAATGCGCTGTGGCTCAGTCCTATGCCATCTTCACGATCCTTCCAGCCTAACAGGTCATCTTCTAGCACTATATTGGACAATATTCTGTGA